AGAGCCCTGGCTTCGGGTCACCCGCATATGGTGGATGCCAACTCAATACTGCAACTCAGGGAATCAGGTTGCCCCACCAATTCACCATACCTTGCCATGTTTTGTTTTTCCTGTTTTTGTCATGCACGATTTGCTTGAGAGCATGTCTCAAAAGCAAAGTATTCCCAACCATGCTTGTTCTCCCTGCTCTAATGTAGCCTTCGTCTCCAAGTTTCCTGAACCTTTCAGGAGTCCAAAGGCCTCAGGGCGGAAGATACCCTTCGACAGCCACCCACATCTTCAAAAGGGCGCGTAAGCTTGCCCTGGGCTGAGTCTTTGCAATCAGCAGCGGAGCCCCTTCGGATTTACTAATCCAACTGAGTTCCTTTTGTTTAAACATGTTGAACTAACTAAAAAATGACATTCGCAAATTTCCCTGTATGCTTTAAAGGGAACCCTTCCCAAAACAGACCATGCGAACCGCTCTTAAAAGTGTTTGAGGGGGGGCCAAAACCCCGAAACGCCACTTTGAGGACCACCCCGGGACCGATTGGTCCGGGACCCAGTTCCTTGGGCGAAGCGGCTTCTTCAGGAACTTCTTGAGGCTCTTCCCCACGGCACCCTCCGTGAGCTCCGTGCATGCCTCGGAGAAGGCTCGCAAGGGATGCGCTCGAAGTGGCTCATTGATCCAGCCATTTGTGTGGGATGTGTAGCATCCAACTCTAAACGCTTAGAAAGCTAAAAGTCTCAAAGTATGGAACCAATCCCTCATTCTCACTCGAGAAGCTCTCGTCGGCCTGCCCAAAAGAGACGCGAAAAGTTGTGGGGGGGGGGGGGGGACAAGCTTCATTCTCTGTGTGTGTGGTTGGTCTATTCTTGTCTGAAATGCTACCCTCCATGACTTGCCTTCAAATATTCGCCCCCCCCCCAAAAAAAACAAAAAGAGGAAAAGGCGATCACCTCAAACTGTCTTTGGTTCCTGTTGGCTTCCCTGACCAGTCCAAACAAGGGGCAGACTTCTTGCATCCAAAAACCACGGCAAAGGCATAATGCTGACCCCATTTTAATCAACCCCAGTTTATGAATAGGGGGGTGTCCCGGGGTGAAATGTGGGGAACCAGACCACTCTTGGAGGGCAACACACACCCTTTCCTATTCATCAACTCGGGTTGAAATTCATCCACATCACCCCAACCACTCTCCGCCCGATTCCGCCAATGATTCTGCTTGGTTGACGTTGGAAGGGGAGCAAAAGTTCCAAAATCTTACTAGTTCAGCGCTTGGATTTCACCCACTGAACCACCACAAGCAAAACTGCCACACGCTTCGCAACAACAACCTGGTCTGCGCGCTGTCGCGCCTCCATGGCGGCCTTGGTGTCTTCAAACTTGTGAAAGGCCGTGAGCCCCACCTGCCGCCTTCGAGCCGCGCCAAGGGGTCGTGTGTCGTTGACGCGACCGCCCGGTCACTCCTTACATGCTCCAAATGCGTGGCTTTCCTTCCTGGCGATCCTTTAAAGCCCCAAAAGGGTGCCCTGAAAACAAGACACGCCCATGTATTGCTCGTCTTTGGAGGAAAACAAAAAGGAAACAACAAGGAAACCAACTTTAGATGTGTCACCGTGTCCTTTTCTTTGCGGTTTTAAAGAGAAACCAAAAGGAAACTTGGGTGTGGCTCGTCACAAGAGGGGAACCCGAAAAATAGCCTTTGGTTGCCCCTTTGGTTTTTCTTTGAACCAACCCCAAGAAGTGTAGCGAGCTTCAAAACACACCAATGGAAGCCCCATGATGGATGGGTTGGCGGTTCTCTAAATGGAATTGGAACAACGGAAACATGTACGTGGAGCTTCCCTTGCCGCCGTACCAGTGTCTTCTTTGCTTGCGGATGTGGAAAAAATGCTTCGCAGGGTGTTCTCGGCGATCAGCCGTTCGTACCTAAAAAAAAGGAGTTGTCGGCCTTCGAGCCTAAAATCCACCAAACCCCCGAGATTGAGAGCTGATGCATTTTAGAGTAGGGCAATCTCCAGAATGGATTCCTTGTGTTGGTTGCCGTTTCATGTGAGGAAGCAACTTTTAGAGGACCAGGACCCCGTCCAAAGAACTCAAGCTTATGGGGGCTGACCAAAAGGTCGACCATGAATTGGGAAACCACGAAAAAAAGATTTGATATTTCAACCACATGGAACCAATACCCATGGCCAGGAGTATTGATCAGCCCCCGCGTGGTATCTCAAGGTTTTTGTTCAACCACAAATAATGCCACCGAACACCTGCAGAGCTCAACCGGCCCTTGCCGGCCGGGGGATGTTGGCGGGAACCCTAACGAGTTGCTTGCGGCACTTTGAGGTCTGGTCTCCTTCTCAAACACGAGTCATGGTCATTGAGCCCACTTCCCCTGCGGCTGTTGTGGACTCTAAAAAAGCAAGCTGGACCTGGGACAATGTAGGTCAGGCATAGACAATGAGTCAAGCTTGACCTGTCTCAATAGCTTGTGACAAGCTGATTTCTGATTACACACCATCAAGGCCAGACCTTCTTAGGAAGAGCAAAGGGCATCGGCATGACGGATCGAAGATTAGATCTCCGCAGCAAGTCTCCTGCCCGGTTCAACTGCCAGGCTTGAAGAACACCGAAAGCCTTGTTTTACTCCCCTGCAAGTTAAGCATGGAATAAAACCAATTTGGGGGAACCCCACTTCAGGCGAGCTGGCACCCTGGGGCGGGCACTGCGCATCCGCACTCGTCTTAAACGAATCATAGATCGTATCCGCATCCGCCTGCGCAGAGATCCGGATGCAAAGCGCTGAGCATCTTAGCTGTTCGTCGGCACACGTCCGATGATTCATGCCAAACTTGACGAGTCACTCAGCTTTCCGGTTGCAGTTCCGGGTTCTTTTCAGTGGTAGGATTCTTATAGGGGAACAAATGAAAAAGTGGAGCGTCCAGATCGTACATGGAACGGCTATGGCTCAACCGATGGTACCCAAAAAGGCACCTTGGTATACTAAAACCTGTGTAGCCCCAGCTAGATAACTTTGAGCCACGCCCAAATATCTTATGATGTCGTCAGGTGTTTGCGCAACTTGGTTTCAGATATGCTCGGGAACCAATCCGAGACACAACAAGTTGCCCTCGAATCGCATGGATGCCAGCCGCACCCTCGCACGAATTGTCTCGAATTTGGGCCTTCAGCAGCTTTTTGTTCATCACGCTGAAGAGGGCGTACCTCAGACGTCAAGTGGAACCCCCAACAATGGCCTTTTGGTCTCCTTAGCAAGCCGAAAAAGGCAGAAACCCTTTCCCTTGTTTGCTCAAAAGACGAGAAAAATGTGGCGAGCCTGGAACCAAATTCCCAACCAGCACGCAAAGGCCTCGAACCTGGATTCATCTCTCGGTTGAAACCCACCTGCCACTTAAGCCACACGTATAAAGAGGGACCTCCTTTGCAGAAAGCCAGGCGGAGATACTAGACTTGCAAGTAGAGAACGAAATCCGCTCTACAAAACGGGCATTGGTGGACCCCTGTAGCTGACCGACGCTTTGAGCGGAATGTTTTTGGACAACCCAGTTTTGGGCTTTGCTGATACTGAGCTGTGACCGGCGACCGACTTCTGCTTGGCATTGGCTGTTGGCATTTCTGCATCGACGTGGCCTTGTAGGGTGGAAGCCAAGAATTTCCATTTAGGTACATGGGTGGCGGGCTTCCATTCTTGACCACCTGCCGGTAGACTTGAATCCCGAACCGGTTGCTTCCCCAACAAAGGGAATCCGATTCCTGGGTTTCAGTCCAGCGGGATGGGACCCGGGCCCTGCCGGGGTTTCAAGGAGCAGCAACATGGCCGGCACCCTCAGGGCTCCGGAAAGGAGCCTGGCGAGCCGAGCCGCATCTGGGGACCCCAATGCGACTTCTGGAAACACCGCGCTGTCAACGGGAATGGGCCCACCTTCAGACGGGTTTTGTCGCGTTGGTTCTGAAACCAAGGGTTCAAACATCCGAAATAGAACGCGGCAAGGTGCACGCGCCTGTGACAAGGATGCGTGCCCTGGCCGCGCAACGTCTACATGATGGCTCGAGCTATGAAAAATGCGCATGCCGGACAAGTGAAATCCAAGAACGGCACAATAGCCACGAACCGCACACCAACACTTCCATATCGCTGCCACTGGCTCAGTTGCTTATACATGTTGACCTTCATACTTCCAATGATAAGAACCCTCCGGGTACAAACTATATATAGAATTATATATATATATATTATGTGCATGTGACGCACCAAGCGCAACAATATTCACATCGCAAAACAAATGCAAGGCGGTGAAACCAACCGTCTCCCAAACCATCTACTATGTGAGCTGCAGTGTTTCGACGTTCCTTTTCCGCATGAAACTTGCGATGTATCCACATGAAAACTAGGCACGTTTTCCACACAATGCATTCCTCCGCCGGAAGGTTCTTCTTCTTAGGTTCGGCAGGAGTTTGGTTTCCTGGGTTCGCTGGACTAGCATGCCGTTGCTTAATCCATTTTCGTACAAAATGCATTTGGCACGCAACAGTGACTGAACGAAGGGGTTCTAGAAAACACGCACTGCTCCGACCCAATTTATAAAAAGGCCCTGACAGCCGCACGCGATTTGTTGTCTTGGGTTGCTCCGCTGGTTAGGCGGCGCCTGCCTGCACACCGGCGGTGGCAGGAGAGGATCTTCCCCCGGCAAAAACATAAGAAATACAACCACGAACCAACCGACCGACCGACCGACCGACCAACCAACCGACCGACCGACCGACCAACCAACCAACCAACCAACTAACCATACTGTGGCTTTCGGAGCGCACGGCAAACAAGGTGTAAGAGCACAGGGCGTTCGTTCATGGCTAAACGCTGCGGGCTTACAGCCTCAGCGGTGTGAATTGCAAAAAAGGGTGGACAGGGAGGGCTCGATCAAAAACAGAAAGGTGTCATGTTCGGCGCAAGGCTGCATGTCTAGGAGTAGAAAGAAAGGGGGGGGAACAAAAACGCCCGTCGCGTGCTAGGAAACACATTGTTTCTACCCATTTACAGAACAGGTCCTGACAGGACGCACCATTTGGCCTTGGGTTGCGCGAGCATACGTCATTTTTAATGAGCATTGGTCTCTTGAACCAAACTGGCCAGAACTTTGCAAATGTTTACGCGCAAACTATCCAACCACATAAACACACAAGCACACACACACACAAATACACAAACACAAAAACATACAAACACGCAAACACACAAACAAGCAAAGACGCAAAGACGCAAAGACGCAAAGACGCAAAGACGCAAAGACGCAACCCGCAAACCTGCAAACACGCAACACACGAGCACACAAGCACACAAGCACACAAACACACACACACACACACAGACAGACACAGACAGACAGACAGACAGACAGACAGACAGACAGACAGACAGACAGACAGACAGACAGACAGACAGACACACAGACACACAGACATACAGACACACAGACACACACACAGACACACACACAGACACACACAGACACACACACACACACAGACACACACAGACACACACAGACACACAGACACACAGACACACACACACACACACAAACACAAACAAACACACACAAACGCACAAGCACACAAGCACACAAGCAAAACCCTTATTTTTTTGACGCCTTTTTGACTCTCAGGAAGACATGACAGTCCTTGTTCGGGTAGAAGGGCGGAACTTGTGGGCAAGCAACCTCACCCGTTGGCCGCCGTAATGTTGGTTGCCGTTTGGTTGCCGTTTGGTTGCCGTTTGGCTGCCGTGATGTTGGTTGCACTCCCCCTTTTTCTCAAGGCGTTGCTCAGAGGTGCAGTCAAGGATGCAGATGCGTGTTCGGCCGTTGCAGTGCTGCATCCCCTGCGAAGCCTGGAGATTCTACCCCCGACAAACAAAGCGTGTTCGGTATCACTGAGGTTTTCAATGAAACGTACGCAGAGGCTCGGTGAGAGCAGTTTGAGTTTGCATCATATGGAGGGTGGCTGCACCCTGCGTCTGCGCGAACTGCTCCAATCACTGGGGCCTGGCCTTAGTGATTGCAGGGAGGGTGGGTGGGTTTCAAAAAGATAACCCTACAGGACCCAGAAATGACAACTCGGCCGAAGAACAGCCTACGTTCGTACCACCCTTCGGATTTTCAAACGCTCTTACAGGCCGTTTCTAGGCGAATTACCCCTACTAGCATGACAGACCTTACGGGGTCAAGATGTTTCTCTCCAAGATATTTTTAATCATCTTGATCCTGGAAATCAAAACTGTATCCGCTTCCAATTTCCTGTGAAATGACTTGCCAAACGGGCCCCCTCATGCGAGCAGGCGCGCAGTTCCGCAATGCTCTCCGACATGAAAGTTTTCCGGGCGCAAATCTAATTGTCAAATACGGGAGAGTCTTGATGGTCCCATAAACCGCCAAGTCAGGCTTTTTCAACAGATTCCCACATCGGACATCAAATGAGGCTGGTACCAAGGATTGAAAGTGTGCCGTTCTTGCAGCGGGCGGAGGCATTGGAGTGTGTGCGAAAGGGCTCCTGGCTTGCTCTGCTTCGCTTGCGTGGCGCACGAACTTATGCATCACTGCATTCTTTGTAGGCAACGGGTTTCCGACAAGGCTGGCGCATTGAAGACTCGCTTGAGGTGCGTTCATCCCGGCGCGTGGGCTCAGCGGGCGGATGCTACGGCCCGCGAGCAGCCGCGCGAGTCTTCACTGGATCACCTGGCTCGAGCCCGAACCTCTGTGACACTCCAAAGGTTGCACAGCGCTTTCCCAAGCCAGCCCGGCCTTTTTGGCTTGCTCGAACTGAACATGGACCTGCGGCGCCTGCGGGAGGCCAGCTGGCCCTGTTCCGAGCGAACTCAACAGCCTCGCGGGCGACGGAGACTTCGGAGGACAACAGGGGAGGCAAGTGGGCGAAAGTGAAGGGCAAGGGAGCCAGCCACGGCAATGGCCATGGCAGAAGCTTTTGCAAAATGCTTAGTCGCCCATCGGCACGAAGATCAACAAAGCATTCAACGACAGGACACAGCGTTCTTGCTCTTCTTCAAAACCGACGGGGAGGGCTCGGTCGTCAAGGTTCTGTGGGAGCTGTCGCAGGCGTGGAAAGCGCAGAAGCAGGAGCCGGCCAGCCTGTCGCAACCCATGAGGGTCGTGCTCTTCCAGGCGGTGCTGACGGAGCTGTTTGGTCGGATCACCAAGGTCCAAAACGATGGAGCCATCAAGGTACAGGCGTTGAAGATGGGCTGGATTGTGGAGGAGGGTGCGGGCAGCCCAGAGCACACGGTGGCCTTTCCCGATCTCCAGTGGGATGCGGACAAGAAGCATGTTCCGCTTCAGGGGAGCAGGCCCATTCAGCAGCGGGACATGAACCTGCTGACCATGCTGATTCAGATGGCGCCCCCTCCACCCCTGGCAGCCGAACACGCGGGGCCGACGCTGGCCTTTCTTCTGGAGATTGGGCTCCGCTCTCAGGAGATGCAGAAGCTGTACGACCTGAACCAGCTCTGCTCGAATTCCGTTTGGCTTTTCGTCGGGGCCACCATGCGGCACGACAAGATTCAGCGCTCGCCACTGGCCACGCAGATCCAGCAGGTTCTGGACAAGATCTAGCTTGCCTGGGCGGTTACGCAGGCCAGCGCCTGTGAAACTTGAGAATCCTCACAACGTTTGCTACATCAATGCATGCGTTCATTCTTGGTTTTGGGCAGGGGTGTCTCGCAGCGCGTCATATACGGCAGGCTGCAGTCTTGTTTTCAGAATTTGCACAATGCTCGAGAGAATGAGTCCTTTTGCCAGGGCTATCGGCGTGGGGATACTACGCCAGTGGCCTAACCTCTCGCGCCAGCATGATGCCGCAGAGTTTCTCGCCTTCCTTTTGAGTCTTGCTAGGCCTGACGAATTCAATGGACAATGGCAGGCGCGATTCTCGGATGCTCAGGGTGTGCATGGACAGGATTTCGGTGCCGCGTTTTACCCTGCGCCCATGTTTTTATACGGCCACGCACTGCAGAGCTGCATCGAAGCGTGGCATTCCCACGCATTTTTGCATGCGTTCCTCGAGCAAATTGCAGCGATACACTCAGACGGATGAAGGCGTGGAAAAGTCAGCTCATCCCATTGACATTCAGGCTGGAGAGTTGGTGCAGCTGCCAGTTTTCCGCGAGGACCTTGAATGTGGCTGGCATTCGTATCGTGTTTTGTCAGCGATTTGTCATTCTGGGTGTTCTCTTCGCGCAGGACATTTTTTGACCTTGCTGAGTGTGCAAAGCAGTCGCTCGTGGCATTTTGACATTGCCGATGATAGCCTTGCTTCCCAGCAATCCACACCGGCACAGATAGCAACCCTGCCATCCAATTGCTACCTTGTTTGCCTTGCTGGGGAGTTTTGATTCACACACCGCCTGATCGATTCAGCACATGATCCAGCATTGCATTTTGTAATTTACATTTGCTTGTGAATGGGACCAATGCGAATGCACTGACTTGATATTATTTTCATCCTCGCCCGGCATATGCATGATTTTTCTGCGTGGTATTGCCCCGCCTGCACTTCCCAGTGAGTGGTTGCACATTGCTTCGTTTGGTGTTGCAGACTGAACTACGCGTGGGTATTCTGTTTGGCCTTCGGGTGCTTTTCTATGTTTCAATGACCGGGCTGTGAGCGTCAGGGGCTTTGCACGCCTGTATAGCTGTTTTTGCTGTTGGTACTTGCTGTAGTTCGCTACGAAGTACCATGTGCCTGCAGGTAGCTACGAGGCACACCCAAAGAGATGCACAGCAGCAGCCTTTGAGCTGCCGGGCACGATTGTGCTTGTCTCAAGAACGCTAGGCGTCATCAGCGCTGCGTATGGAAAGGAAAAAACCTGAACAAAATGAATGAACCCAAAGAAACATTTTTTTGAGAATGAACTGAAACAACTGAATCGACCGAAAGAACTGAATGTGTTGCATGAACCAGCAAAAAAAGGAATGAAGCCAAAAGAAGCACGAAAAGAATGAAAATAATGTACTGAAATAACTACATCAACAGAAAGAACTGAATGCGTTGAACCAACCGCCAGCCAACCAACCAAACTGAACCAAAACCAACCAAAACCAATCAAAACCAACCAAAACCAACCAAAACCAACCAAAACCAACCGAAACCAACCGAAACCAACCAAAACCAAACCAACCGAAACCAACCAAAACAAACCAAAACCAACCAAAACCAACCCACCCACCCACCCACCCACCCACCCACCAACCAACCAACCAACCAACCAACCAACCAACCAACCAACCCACCGACCGACCGACCGACCGACCGACCGACTTACAGGTAGCAAAACTGCAGTTGAAGCAATGGAATTGCTCAAAACACGTTGTCGAAGGCCGCCGCTCCCTTTTCCTCTTCGGAAAGCAAGAACCGGACTGTCGTCCATGCCGTTTCGCATCTCGAATTAGCGGGAGCTCACTCCACTTGGAGCCAGGGCCTATCGACCCCAAGCTTTCAGCTGGGGAATAAATAGTAGACCTCTGTTTGCTTAAGTCCCCAGGAACAAATATGCCCAGTCTTCAAAACCAACAGGGGGACGGAAGTAGTTGACACCCACACCTCCCAGCTGAGGACGGGGCATTACCTAAGGTATAGTCCTCACAAAGTTGCTGATGTGTCACCTCCGCCGATGCTCGTCGGCAACTGCCATCAAATGGGTGTGCGTTGTAGGGTACTGTGTGTGTGTGTGTTGTAGGGTATACGTGTTTACATGATAGATAGGGAAATCAACAGGAGAAAAAATAATGGGGCCCTGTTTCAACACACACTCAACTGATTGCCGAGCAAGGCGAAGGAAGGGAACTGTTGGGCCGCCTTTGATACATATGATTTGCTCTTTTTGACAACCTCCATCAACGATAGCGAAAGCGGCACCTGCACCCCACACTGCGTGCCCCTAGCCCTGCCGTCCGTCAATCTCGCACAAACGCGCCTGTGCCATCACCAGCATCCAACAACACCCCAAGAATCCCCCGAGCACCCGGCTGTCAATTCTGCAACAAGGCCCCCGTAGCGTCACCCCCCAAACAGCACCCCAAAGCAGCACCTGCATCAGCAACCGAAACTGCATGCCTGCTGCCAATCTCGCACAAATGCACCGTCACTGTCACCAGCAGCATCCCAAACAGCCCCCAAAGCAGTAACTGCCATATTGCATGCAGTACCCGGCCGTCAATCTCGCAAAAATGCGCCACCGGCAAGCGACCCAAAACAGCACCTGCGCCAGAACCCCAAACTGCATGCTCCTAGCACCCTGCCGTCAATCTCGCAAAACTGCGCCCAGCACCCAAAACCGCACATGCACCAGCACCCCCTAGCACCCAGCCGTCAATCTCGCAAATCACTTTCTCCTCTTTATTGGAAGTTAGAACCCCTATGGCTTTCAGCTATCTGGGGAAAAAGTTTAATGGTTTCCTGTCAGTGCTTGATTTCTTTATATTCAGTCGACCTCAGAATGGGCGTGGCACTTTTGAGCGGACCGCCCGAAAGGGGGCTATCCGTTGGGCGTCCCTTGAAAACCACAAACAGGGGGCACCCTCAAAAAACACCCAAATGAGCCATGTTGGAGGAGCGGGCAAGTATGCCGGGCGATCCCGCCTGAAGGTGCGGTCTGCTTGCTGTCGCCGTCCGCCTGTCTTTTTGTTTAAGCCCAAGGAGTGTCCATGGAAAAGGGGCACGCGTTTTGTCGGTAGGCTTCCATTGGTTTAGTTGGGGGGTGCCCTTTCCCCATTTGCCCATCCCCAAACCCGGGGCTCGGGGATGCACCGCTTCCTTGGACCCGAAGTCAGCATTCCAAGAGACTGGCTGAGAAGCCATCCGCGTGGGCTCGAGGCCCAACAAGTCATTCATTGCTCGGGACTCGAATCGGTGGGCGCCAACAGAAGTCCTGCCCCAAATTTCTGAATCATCCCTGAGCTGGGCTGTCTGGATGAACCCCCCCCCTTCCATGCATGAAAGTTGATCCAGCCATATCCTCGCAGAACCTCCGGTAAATAGCGCTCCGAAAGGCTCCCGGAAAGAGGAAAATGGATATTTGCTCCGCTCGCGCCCTTGCCGCCGGGAAGTTTTTGAACTGGAGTCGCATCCCAGGGAAGCACTTGGTGGGGGAAGTTCGATGCATGCCTTTCCTTTCAAATGGGCTTGTAACGTTGTACCCCGCCCCATGTTGGTAGACAGGGTTGTGGGAAATGACAGCTTGTGATACAACAAAAAGGGCCTCCCAAAGACTAACCCCCATAAAAGAAGGGATTCCCTTGTATCACAGAAGTGGGGCCTTGCTTCCAAAGGTGAGCCGGAAAACAATTGAAATCTGACACCCTTCATGAGCTGTAATTCGGGCGCCCCCATTTCCTTGTGGCTTTCCTTCAAGCGCCATCCAAAAGTGTAGGCGGATAGTAGAATTCTTAGGCACAGACTTTGAAGTCAACCCAAAGATGATAATGAGACGCTTTCCTGGAGTTTTCTTCAACTGCCATTGCAGTTCCTGCTCAGAACAGGATCACTTTTGAGCCCACAAGGAGAACATTGGCTGGGGGTGCCCTGAAACAGAAGCGGTTGCTCTTGGGGTGGCGACGGCAGGCCATGCCACGTACATCTCCCAGAGCCCCTCCCAGACCCCACTGCACTGCACGGTGCGCGCCCAGCGCTTGCTTGGAGATAGCGCTGCCTACCGAAGAGCCGAAGCACCAATCTGTCCGTTATCAGATCTGCGAGCAAACTATTTATTTTTGGATGGACACCCAACCGCTAAACGAACTAAAACCCAAAAAAGCTGAGGAACCGGATTCGCTAGGGACCGCCAGGAAACCAAATACCGATGAAGGTTGGCACAATGCGGATTGGGAAGCATTGTTCAGAGAAGTAAACAATCATGGGGAAGGCTGAGAAACAGCCGGGAGGAGATGACTTCACGCTGACCCTGGAGTAATAAACCTGGCGGATGACACGAGTGACAACCAGCGACCTGAGTCAACATTGCCCAGCTCAGACGGGAAGCGACATGACTTTGGCCCGAAGTCCCCCCCGTCATGAAAAACGAAAAACCAAGACCCTCCAAAACGTGGTTCAATGGCTGGTTTCCTTTTGGTTTCCAATTGGTGTCCTTTTCAAACCAACCAAAACTAAACAAAAAACCAAGACACCCAGCTCTCAAGATCTTTTCGACTGATTGAGCGCCCAAAACCGAGAGGCTGGGACTTGGGCCAAGCCCAAAATATCTCCGGAAAGTACTGTAGCAAAACCAGCGGTCCTGCATCCAGAAAACACCGGGTTCGAAAATGGAGGGCGCTCTAATTGTTTGTCTGCTTGGAAAAGGTCCCAATCGAAGAGCGCTGGTGAGAGCGGCAAGGCAACCCAACTCCTGCCGCAAATCTTTCCATAGAAGGGAGCTAACCGCAAAATCCCCAACCTAAGCCCTAGATACAACTTCCTGGTGGTACAACACGACTCGCAACCCGTTTGTTTGTTTGTTTGTTTGTTTGTTTGTTTAACACCACCTTTCTGGCCCTGGCAGGGCTGGACACAAACCACCGGTGATTTGTTTAACGAATAAAGTGCCCGCTGGCGCCAAAGAGCTGGACCCGTGGCGAAGGTCGCTTCAAAGACCTTTTTGCTACGCGTCGTAATGGGGGTTTTGTCGGTGCAGGGTGTGACACATGCGAACCTCTTGGAAGTGAATGCCAAACTGGAACTCTACAACAATATCTTTCCTAACACTTCTTCTACAACAGGAGACTCTGGAACAACATTTTCCCGCACGCTGCCTCTCCTGCCCTGAGCCAGATTCCATCATTCTAGGGCCCCCTTCTTCTCAAAAGCAGCAGGGTCTTAAACCTACAAATCTGCCCCTGTCCGGCCCGCAGCCCACATTCCATAATTCTAGAGCCCCCCTTTTCGCCCTACCTTGTTTGAAAAAAAACGGGCGTCTAAAACCAACACATGCTCCCTGTACACCCACAAATCTTCCCCTAACACTGCCTATTCGGCCCTCACCCAGAGTCCATCATTCTAGAGCGCTGTCCCCCAACCCAGCCTCGCGCACCCATTCTGCACCTTCAGCCTCGCACCCCCCATTCTGCATTATACACCAACCCACCCATTCTGCAACTCTGCCCTCGCACACCCGTTCTGCACCACAGCCTCCCCCAACGGGGCACGCATTTGTGCACCTGTTCTCAGCACACCCGTTCTGCTTCACACGTTTTAGCTTTGGCCCATTCTGCACCACACAGCCAGGCACCGGTTCTGCACCGACAACACGGCCATCCCGACCCAACCCAGCCTCAGCCTCGCGCGCCACACAGCTGTCACCCGACCCAGCCCCGCGCACCCTCTCGCACACGGGAAAGCCGAGACATCTTGGGAGACTCTGGGCACTTGCGCACTTCAGCAGCACCACCTCCCCCATTCTGCACCACCCCGGGCACGCATTCACCACACAGCCGTCGCTCCGCACTGCACAACAGACGTCCCCCGACCCAGCCTTGCGCACCTGTTCTCATTCTGCACCAGTCTGCACCACACACCTCGCGCACCTATTTCTGCAGGCGTCCCCACAATTCACAGGCACCGTTCCCCGCGGTCCACGTTCAAAGCGAAGGCAAGCTCGACCTTTCTTCGAGGTCGCCTGCAAGGCAAGGACGAGTGACGTTCGAGCGGTATGTTGACTGGGGGGCAGCGTGGGCACATCCCTCTGTCAAGGCAGCCGGGGCGGCGTCAAGGTGCGTTGGCCTACGGACCCGTGCCGGACGCGTCCATCCTGACTGTGGACCTTGCTGCGGAGCCGACTACAGGGGCGAGGAGTATTGCGGAGATCCTGGATCTCATCTTGGATTCCGTGCAGGAGATCCGTGAGCGCAGCGCGCGGCTTGACCGCCGGAGACGGCCTCGCTGCCGGCGAACGAGTTCCAGTGAGCCTGGGTTGCTTCCTTTTGGGCAAGGGGCCAGAGCTGTTCGGTTTTGCGGTTAAGGGGTGGCGACTTCGAGGTTCATGTTTGTTTTATGTCGATGCGAAGTATTCCTGTCTTAGGGTTGTTTGTTGCTCGAGTCATGAACAATTCGCTGCCACTCGCAAGCGGCTTTCGAAGAGCAGCAGCCTTTGGGTTGGCGAGGTGATGTAGGTTGTTCGGGCTAAGCAACGTGACTGACATGTGAAGTGCGCTCTTTTCTGCTGACAGATTGTGGCAACATGGCGAGAAGCTCGCGTTTCCCGCAAGGCCTTTCATGCCTTTCATGCGCCACAGATAGAGACCAACGGCCTAGCGCAATCGGAACTGCGTTCAGACGCATCTACCATCAAAAAGATGGGCAGTGTCAGTGATCGTGATGAGTTCGCTTGATGAGCTGCACGGTCGGCAACCTGCGCAGCATGCTAAGGGGCAGCGCTTTGGCTGCAGTGCGTGGATGAAAGCATGCTAGTGGAGATCTGTTGCGACTGCACGACTTTTTTTCTCGCGCTGCAAGACTGTGTCACGACTCGAAAGCTAGCAGATAGCAACATGGCACGTGGCTTGCTTGAAGCTTCCTTCAAGCGTGACTCACTCACTCAATCACTGTCTGACTTTGTCTCACGCACTGTCTCACTCACTCTTTCACTCACTTATTCACTCACTCGCTCGCTCGCTCGCTCACTCACTCACTCACCCACTCACTCACTTGCTCGCTCACTCACGCACTCACCCACTCACGGCCGCCACAGCCTCGCGCGCCCATTCTCCACCACGCGGCAGCCTCACGCGCCCATTCTGCACCACACAGCCATCCCCCGACTCAGCCTCGCACCCATTCTGCACCGTTCCGTCCCCCGACCCAGCCTTGCGCACCCCCCCCACTCTGCACCACACTGCACCCACCCATTCACACGGCCGTCCCTGCGACCCCTGCAAGCCCGCCGTGCCTAAATTTGGCAGCTCACAACGAAATGGAAATCCCTTCTTATCTCCGCCGTCAAAGCTTTCATCGCTCCCCGGAACCTAAAGGCACCTAAAGCAGAACCCGAGCATCAGAGATGCTTTGGGGGGAAAATACAAAGGCCTGACAAGGGGATTTCTTGCCCTTTGTGACTAGTTTGGGACCAACAACTCCCTTGCTTGTGTAGAAAAGCTTACCAAACAAAAAACTCCACTGGACAATGGCCCTGGCCGAAAACTGCCGCCTCTTCGTCTTCTGAAGAGATGTCGCATCCCGAGGTCTCGCTGGAGTCACCAGTGTCGCTGGGGGTCTGCGGAAACAAAAGCGAGATCCGAGCGTCTGCCCAACCAAAAGACTTGCTGGTGCTCAGCCGGGAATGATATAGCATCGTTGAAATGTATTTATACATATATATATATACATGAAAAGAAGGGAGGGGATCGACCCCTGCCCACAAGGTCATGATTCTTAACACTTCACGTTCCCCATTCTTGGAACCATATATAGTGAACCTAGAAACCTAAAATAGGCTCAAAGGAGATCCCGAGTGCGGAATACTGGGCACTTGTCGTTCCAAGAACAAAAACACCAGCCGTCCTGCACCAAACAAAGCTCAGCCTCTAAATCCGGGCGCCAAAAACCGGAAGCTGTTTGAGCACCTGCTGTTTGACGAGGGGGTGCTGATCTCTTTCTTCGAGAAAGGTCATATTACCTCACCCCTTGATAGGATTGATTTGTTGGTTTGGGGCTTGAAGCAAATGGTGCAGCGGTTTACATTTTTGCCCTTGGGGTGATTCGGGGGGAGCTTGCATAAGCGACGCCTGGAGGCCCGCTTTCTTCATTTCCGCGACCCCAGCTGACCATCGGGTTCCCTAACAAATGGTTTCCTTGAAACCCACCCCGAAACGCGAACAGAAGTTCTCATGTTGATTGCTGTTCTTTTTTCGTTTGACACCTTTCAGAAAATGACGGTTTCCATCTGACCAGCAAACATTTGAACAATTTGCAGAGCTGAATTCAACCAAGCCAGTGCTTGTTTTCCGGGCTACTTCCTATCGCTGGTTTGGTGTGGTGGTCTTGGATGTCCTGAGTGGATGTCCTGGGTTGCTTTTCACGACACTAGACCAAGGGCATATACTCCATTCTTGAAGGATAGTTGTTTTGGTGGTAGTGGAACTGAGTTGCCGAGTTGACTGGCCTGAAAAAAAACAAAAGTTGGCCCTTGACCATGACATCGGCAGACAAAAGTTGCGTTTTTGTTTGGAACAAGGAGCTGCTACTTGCGGCTCGCCCCGCCGGCGGGCGGAGAAAAACAAATTAAAAACAATGCCTCCTCCGAGTCCGTCACTTCCGTCTCATCAGGATGTTTGCCTGGCACGGTGTGGTTTTGAACCCAAAGTCCTCCCTTCTTCTTCAGGCAACTAGTTCGAAGCTGGCCAACCCCAACTTTCTGCCGCCAGATGGCCCTTTTCCCCTCGGTTTGTCTCGTCCAAAAAACGTGTCCCCCCCCCTCGAAAAAATATACTGTTATCCAGAGACACGCCCATATGTTTGTTGCCCCCCCTGCGCCCTGGCGCAGCTGAAGCTTTCGGCACGGAACAACATATGAAATAAGAATGGGGCTGTTCCACCTGACAGGTCCCGGGTCACCCTCGAAGAGACCCTCCCACCCACCAAGGATTCTGGGCCAAAAGTCCTGGCGAAGACGCGTCTCGTCTAAAGGGACTTTTTCCAGGCTAGCGGGTTGCCGCCACACATGGAAGTCCCCTTAATGGGAACCACTCGTCTCTCGGAGGGGTCCAGGTGCACTTCCGTCGTTGGGATGGTCCGCTCGGATGCAGCGCTTTTCCCTCAAATCAGTGAGCCACCTGCTTAAAAACCGGGTACATGGGTTACCCTCCCTCCAACAAACATAGCAGCTGTGGGAGGGTACCTGGAAGATGGTTTCCTCTTGATGGTATCGTGTGTCAGTTGCTATGTTAGTGGGAGGGAGGGTAGTAATTAAGGGAAAATCCAATCCCATACATGGGTGCAGCCGCCTTGTGAAGTCTTGACATGGTTCTGGGTAGGCCATTTGAACACCCGGGTGTTGAAACAATTGGACGGCCCCAGTGAATCAGCTGGGGGGTGATGAGTAGGTCAACATTACCAGTCCCGACCATGTTCCTAGGCCAATAAAAGTTGATATTGAAGGGAAGCCGCCTCAAAAAAGGAAAGGAGGGCATGTCTGGGATTTGTCTTGGTTCCAATCTCCAAAAGACATTCAGCGAGCGGTGGAAGGGAGATCTGGCAAAAACAAAAGCAGGAAAGGTTCTTAGGCTTTGAGAACCTTTCGGGGGAAAAGAGGGGGTCCTGGATAAACATGAATCCTTAAGCCAAGAATCAATCCACCGCTCCACAGCCGTGAGCCGAAATCCGACTCAATCGCCTTCAATCAGGTCTGCTGCATTCATCACCCGCTGCATTTCTGACGATGCCACAGCGAAGATGCTTGTGCCTTGGTGAAGAGACGGATTCGAATCAACGGTTCCAGCTTGCACCAAAGGACGTGGAGCCCGTTGGTTTGCAGCCATTTGGGGTCTGCCACAGAGACCAAATCAACCGACCCTATCTGAAGTCACCAGCCCGTATTTAGTAATCAACCACCCCTATCCCAAGTAAGTAAGCAATGCGGGCAAACATCTACCAGCGGTCCTCTCTTCTTCTGTTCCCTGGTTTTTTTTGGGGGGAATCAACGGTGTTTTCAACTGGGCCGCTTAAAAGTAAACCCAGGCTCGTACGCTGGAATTCGAGGCCTCGAGGCCTCGAGGCGGTGCCGCTTCGCAAGTCTTCTGGGCAATCCGGCCTTACGACCGATTTATCACTCAGATGGTTCACCAGACTGGCCCGCCCTTGAGCCCAAAATGAGCAAATCAGCTCATGGGTTTACAAAAAAGGCCCGAGAAAGGCAAATGGGTTTGTCTCTTCATATAGACCCCCCCCAAATCTGTGTCTCTTTGGCCTCTTTTCGTTTAAACCAGACCCTGACAGGGCCAACCTAAAGAGGAAGGCTGTGGATGAACCAAATCCGGCACCACTTTGGATGGTTGAAACCCTTCATACTTGGAAAACCACCTACCAACCCGATCGGCGTGGATTTTGTAGCCATCTACAGAATTTCTGCAGCTTGGGTGTCTCTAATTTTGAAGATGCCCGTCTTGGGTGTTTCCCAGGAAAACGCAAAAGGGAACCAACTCTTCCAAGGAAAATCTTCCCAAGGCTCGCGCTGAGCGGCACTATGAAAGCCACTAAGTTCATGCACCTCAGGCCGCTGCGAAGAATGCAGCAGCGGAGTGACCGGACCGATCGGGGAAGAATGTTGGTTGAGCTGTAAAGGGCGAACCAAGGAGCGACAAAAATGCATCTTTTGGTCAGGCCTGGCTGAACTCTTATGCGCAAACTCTACCCATGGCATGAAACTCTAAAATAATAGGTATCCTTTTGGTTGATTTTGAAGCCCTTCCAGAAAGGGCTCAAAAAAAGACACACCCGCAGGAGAACGAATGGTTTGACTTTGAATTTAACACCCTTTCGTGGGCATCATTTCGGTGGGGATTTATGTCCGTCAACCAGTAAATATCATAGCCATATCTAAGCAAGGGCGAGGCCAAGAAATCAGAATCAGTCTCCATGGGTTTGTGTTTTTCGTCGGATTCGGACCCCATGGATTTCGGTTCCCTTTTTTGCCCAACCGAAAAAACGGGTGGTACTGCGCCAAAGGACGGACCCATCTGCTCAAACAAGAGACATGTGGTGCCCAGTTCATTGGGTCCGATCATTCAACGGTTCTTTCACATGACTCGGTCCAAAAGTGCACAGCTTGCGAATCTCCCAAACTGTATGCTGCTATGCACGGGAAGGCGAAGGTGCTTTTCTGTTTCTTGATATGCTTTTGAAAAACGTCATCATCCTGATATATTGAGCCTTATCTTGTTTATCGTTGTTTTTGCGCTTCGCTGGTGATGCTGGCGAGGTTGAATCATCAACACCATCAACAACGCGATCGTCAGCACCATCGTCGTGGTTACACTTTGTCATGGGGCTTCGCCGGCCATGCCGGGGATGTGTAGTCGTCGTCATCATCATTCTCATCACTCTGATGATCATCATCCTGCTTTGCGGGTGAGGCTGGGGGTGCGTCACGATGCTTATCATGATCAATGTCATCACAATCCTCTATTTTTTAGTTTTGATATGTCAAGGGTGACGTTACGGACCTTGGGTGACGCTGGGGATGCGTAGTGACGACTATCAGAATCAATATGCCCGTCACCCCGTTGTCATGGGGCTTCGCTGGTGATGCTAGGGATGCATTATCATCGTCATCAACACTAGTACAATTGTGACGATCATCATCATCATGATCATCATCGTCGTGACCATGCTTCGCTGGTGGTGCTGGGGATGCGTCACGGTGATATCATCAGTACTGCAATCACAAGCGACACTGTTATCATAATCCTCATCCTGACTGTCATTACGCGTTGCTCATGGTGATCATCATCATCATCGTCGTCATTTCGCTTCGCTGGTGATCTGGGGATGCGTCATGATGCTTATGATCAATACTGTCATCCGCCATTGTCATCACGAGCCTCGCAGTTGTCTTTGCCAAAAAACACATTTCAAAGGTGACGTTAGCGCACATCTGCCTTTCAAGAAACATACAACATTCCTTCCAAGCCTACCAACTCTGTCTTCTGTTGTCTTGGCCAGAGATGCTCCGCCCGAAAGGGAACATCACTTAGGTTCTGTGGAACTGACAGCTGGAGCCCGGAGAAGTTTGGAACGCTTCCAGGCCACGGGAGTTTGGGTCGTCGGCATGGCTCACTCCGGCAACATGTTCTGCGCACTGACTCCAATCGAAGGAAATTTGGAGCTCCACGGGCGCGGCGCAAAAACGTTCGGAAATGCTCTAAACATGTCCGAGCAAAAGGAAACAGCAGTGGCTATGTGCAAAGCAAACAACCAAGCTATCTGGAAGTGGCATCTTGAGCTCGAAACTCTTCAAGCTGCTATCGTTGCAAGCCACATCGGCCCAATCGGCCCAATCGGCCCAACTAGCGGCACGCAGAAACGCGCTTGAAGGCACGCAAGAACCCCAAATCGCTCTGGAACTGCGGTAGTTCCACCAGCAGCGCGTACTTCCGAGATATGTGCGTTGGCGCAGGGCGCCTTCCACTTGCTCTGTCACTTTCTTTGATGCCCCACATTGATATCCGTGTACCAAGCGGGTAACGGACATTTGAATCATTGTCATAGCTGAATAATTGTTGGCAATGATTTGGCCCTTCATATCAAGCGGGTCACAGACCCTTCGTTTTTGCCATGAGTTTAAGTTATGTGGATATCACAAATATCATTGAATGTTTAGTGGGGGAGCACGGAGAAAGATGACGAGGCTTTCTCTTCCGCAGCCGGTTGGCCCACGCAGATCGCTGCGATCATTGCCCGTAACTGTTACATTTTGACAATGAGGTAAATGCGTCTCCCAGACGCCCGGTGGCCATGGGGAAAAAACACTCTTGTTGTTAGTGGTCAAGTTCACAGGCAGTTCCCCTCTGAAAAAGTAACAAGTCGAAGAAAACACATGGGCACCGGGTGTCGTTCATTTTAGCGATCTGAGGCGGGCGCATGTTGTCCAGGCTGGTTCCATTCAGCAGGGGATCGCCTCCGGAAGGGCGGGTTCGGATTTGACCCGACGAATGCGATGTGACGCAAAAAGCCATGACGGTTGGCATCGTTGAAAAAGGGTAAAGGAAAACCCAAAAGTGATGACGTGTGGTTGACTAGAAAATGATGCAAAACTCGAAAGGGCAACAAGGTAACAAGCACTTTGCTCAGCCTGAAGTCAGGAAAAGGGTCCCAAGCTTGTGCTTGAAAGGGGAAGCCACCCAAAGAAGGGGGATCGTATGAGATTACGAGCATTTACAAGTCGTTGCTTGGAAGGAAACACTCCAAAAGAACTGTGACAGAAAAAGGGCCGCGGCTTTTGTCCCGAAGCCGCCTTGCTAGACGGCCTTGCCTTTCACGCGAGCTGCCATGTAGCCAAGGTCATCCGCACAGCATCCGAGGCAAGCGCGAGGCTCGCCACACGACATTCTACCACTTTCTTCCGGGCCAGGACTGATCGAAGCTGACCGCTCCCCCAAACCAACTATATCCCACGCTCTTGGAAGTTGGTACCCTCTCCATGTTTTTCTTGGGGTTCTACTGAAGTTTACCGCCCAGGCCAAGAGATAAGCGAACTGAGGCAAATAACCATCTGGCGGCTATGTATGCAACTTTCTCTTGGGGGCTGTGTTTTGGGGAATAACAAAAAGCCTCTTACAAATGTGGTGAGCCCTCAATCATTCCCCCCAGTTAGAAGCCTGGAAGAAAGGGACTTCGCACCGCGTTCTAGCTGGACGCAAAATCCTATACACATATCCACTGCCTGACTTGTCTTTCCCTCCGCGACAACCGGGTAGAAGCTCCCCCCTGAGGTTCCATGTTCTTGTGATTGCAAGGTGACTGATTTCTTCGTGTCCCCCAAAAGTGAATCCCTGGGTTTATGAAAAAATGAGGGATTAACTAAACATGTTGGTTGGGGAGTAATATGTTGAATATATGAAAGCCACCAAACAGTATGCCTTGTAATCAACATGCTTCACCCTGCGGCGCAACTACCAAGCGCCTCGCCCGGTCCCAGTCCACCGTCCCCGCCTATGAAGTACACCAGAAGCAAGCTGAACGCATCCGCAATGGCGCGGTCGATGGTCGAAAAAGCCTACCGCGAACTCCACGGCATCGCGAGGAGCGGATCGGAGGTACAAAACTCGGTCGCTTTCTGCTCCCCCGCTAAAACGTTTACTTTTAGTGGTTTAATACGGAAAACCCATTAGGCGACAAAGTGAAAGTCCCAACACCCAAGCCAAATGCACCAAAGAAAACTTGGGGCACCCATTTGCCACCATTTTTTCGGGGCCTTTGAAAGGCAAACCAAAAGGCGGCATGTCCAAGCACAAAACCCCAACACATTGCGGCTGCAGGGTTTTGCTTGATCCTCTACTTGCGATGGGTAGGGAATCCACAGGATACTTTGTGCGAAGTCCCTCCAAAATACCCAATGGCTGTTTTGGCAGCGACGAGAAGGAGGGGCAGGCTCCAAATTTCAACTGCGGAAACAAGGAGATGATTCCCAAATGGAAATCAGAATGCCCCAAGGCCCTAAATTATGGCGCATCGCTCGGTTTACCCTCGATCGGTGAACGCTCTATGCCCAAAAGGACGATGCTAGCGAAACAAGAAAGAAGATATCAACCTCCCATGGAATTTGCATAGGAAACAAAGCAACTCTTTGTTTGGCGAGGGAACCCCTCCCTCAAAATGGGAGGGAGACAGGGAACTGGGGGTCTGGGAATCCAGCAAATGAAAGAAACCTTGGCCCAACTCATGTACCTAGGGTCGACCAGCACCCTTGGTGAGGTCGCTCGTGGTCCAAATGGGTGTGCGTGGGAGTGTC